TGAATTGAGCTGACATGCCTCTAACCCTCATTGGTGTCAAAAGCTGTATCAGCAGCTGGGGCAGTCACATTTTGGGGGGTGAATGAAGGTATACAGGTTCCTATACCTGAGAAGCAGGGGTGAGGTCACTTCTTGCTGAGTCAGAAAAGGGAAGAATATGGGTATCTGGATCTGATAAGAAAGAGATTATAACTAAAGCATCCTCCCAGTGGAAAAAAAAAGTAATGAAATCTGTTGATATAATCAGGAAAAGCAACTTTCATGAGAGAAAAATGTTTTTTAAATTCTCTAGTTTTATTGTTATCTGCTTTCTTTTGGGGAAATGACTGCATAAATCTTGTTTCAGTACAATCGAATTGATGTACACATATAAATTTGAATGAAGAGAATCATTAATTCCATCTTGTCTATTCCTTTGTTTTGACAGGACCAACAAGCCTTTCAACAGATCTCTAGCAATGCTATGACTCCCAAGATAGTCATTCATTTATTCCAGATTTAAATCTGTCAATGCTTGTGGCCACAACTACTTCTTTGGCAGCCTCTTCCATATCTTAATAACCCTCTGAGGGGAAAAAAAATTTTTTCCCCTAGAATCCAAAATAAACCTCTTTTAAAAATAATTTCAGTTCATTTCCAAAAGCATTATAATCATCCCATAATGGAAACCAATTAATTCTGAATTTTCACTGTTATCTACTGTCTCCATTTATTTACTGTTTTAACTCTCAGAGGCTTTCTTTTCTCTAACCCCATCCTCCTTGTTGTGCACTGGAGAGTGCTAGCAGTGTAGACTAATGATCCATTAGAAGCTCACCCCCTCTCCATAGTCTTAATATTCTTCTAACCAATCAATACATGTATGTAAGATATGTATAAGTGCCTATGCTACCACAGTAAGTAAGGCAAGTGAACTACGGAAATAATGAAGTAGCCGCTGTTGCCAATACCCTCTTTCCTTTTCTTGGGATTGCCTGCAAATGACATAAAAAAACAAATAAAAAATGAGAAAGAGATCTAGACTTTCACCTGCTTGTTTATTTTTTGAGGCTGATTTCCCAGAAAATTCAGCACTGCCTAACTACACCTTTGGCATGAGATTGGAGCCACTTTTACAGATCATTCCAGAGCCAGAGGTCACAATGGAAGACAATTCCCATTTTGAGAATGACTTTGAGTGAGTAAGTCATTTTGGCTATCATAAATACCCAAATTAACTATAAAAGACATTTGAAGAAAGACTCTATCTGCATCCAAAGACAGAACTAATAGAGGTATACAATAATTATATGTGTGTGTACCTATTTGTGTCTAATGATAGCCATCTGGAGAGGAGGGAGGAGAGAAAAAGGGGGGGAAGGAAATTGACATGATAATTTTGTTGTGTAACTAAAAGGAATAGCAAGTTGTACATAGTGGATTTGCAATTTCATGTGCAATCATCTTTTTTATTGCACTATGTTATGGAAGTGCTTGTTTTATTCTGTAAATTTTAAAAATAAATTAATTTAATTTTTTTTAAAAAAGAAGAGACTTTAATAGAGGAAAAGATCAGTCCATTAACTTGGCAGGTAGAATGAAGTATTACTCAAACCAGGTAGTGCAGGGTTGGACAGAGTGGGCAGCATGACAGCATCAAAGAGCATGTTTAGACTACATTGGCTTGAGAAGCACAACCCCACGTAGATTAGAACTTGCACCTTCCCTGAACAGAATCAATGAGGGAAGGACCTGGAATCTTCTCCTACTCTCCACACGATGCTAGTAGTTGCCTATTACTCTGGACTACTAGGGGTCACAAGAAAGGATGGAATTGAAGAGCTCCTCCTTCACAGCAAGGTTGATATTCCAGGGACTTCTGTTTACTCCTAGGGTAAAAAGCAGTTGATAGATGCAAAGATATTTTACCTTTAGGTCCCAATGTCAGTCCTAGCTGCTCCCAGATGCCCAGGAATTGGAATGTAGGAAAGGGACCTCAATTACTATTGGAGTGAACCTTGGTTCTCCTCATTACATAGGAAAAGGGAAAAGATGTTGCAAATCACAAATAACAAAAGAAATTCAATTTAAACCAATTGAAGTTTCATCTTATACCCATCAGTTAGCAAAGATGATTTTAAAAATAGTGTTTAAAGGGCTATGAAAAGTCAAGAATGCTGTTGGAGCTATGAATTGGTCCAAATATTCTGGAAAACAATCTAAAATTATGCAAGGAAAGTTACTAAACAATCCTTTAACCTAGCAATCATACTACTAGACATGAATCAAGGTAGTCAAAGGCAGAAAGTTCTCATATATACCAAAATATATATAGTAGCACTTTTGTGAACCACCCTACCCCATCCATCTCTTGCTCTTGGAATGGTAATTGAATCATTAGTACCATTACCACTGGAAAGAAGTATAACAATGGACTACCTCACAATGGCTCCATTCACAATCCTGTTAACT